TCCTGGGGCATTCATGGAGACTGGAGGGATTGACTCCCCGCCTGTGGGATGGCACAATGAGTAGCTGGTTCCAAAATTAAAAGATTTCTGCCATCACATGCAGAAAGAGGCAGCAGAGTTCCTGGCAGGGTGTATCCACATCGTGTCTCTTGGTAACCTCTGGTTCTTACACAACACTGAGCACTCATTGGGGGCTGACAGGATCCATTTCCTTCCCAACCCTCCCTGGGAGCTCTGCTGTGCCCTGTCAYGGCTGTGATGTGGTGACAATATCTGTGGCACTCTGGGGACACAGTGCTGAGTCACTGCCACCCCTCACTGCAGCATGAGCATCACTTGGGGACAGAGAGGAGCCAGCTCCTGGCTGAACCTGGAACCTCTAACGTGTAACCTGTAGCTATAACTGGTGCTTTGGACACCAAGATGTGAAACACAGAGTTTAGAAGGTGAACAGCTCGTGCCTGCTGTGTCAGAAACACCAGGATGGTTTATGTGTGGTTCTTTTTGCAGACCAGTGACCCCCCRCTCGTGTCAGCCCTCCTGACTCTAGTAAGCAGCATTACAGAGTGCTACCAAGTCCTGTTCATGGCAAGAGTTGTGTCTGCAKCTGCTCCTGAGGCATCCAAACCAAATGGAAAGGAAGATTGAGGTCCTGCTACAGAGAAATCCCTGGATCTCTGGTGAAACATGGRAAGATTTCGGGATTGTTGCAAATACCTGAGGGGAGCAGGGACGTGGGGAGGAAGGGCCGTGTGATATTTCTGCTGTTTCCCCCAAAGTTCTCTGTAAACTCTGGTGCCAGTAGCTTCATTTCCCAGCTGACTCTGGGACAAAAGTCTCGTGGTAGAAGAAAGAATTATTGAGGGCCCCAGGCAGCTGCACTTCTGTTAATCCCATGTCTCCCAAAGGTGGCCATTCCATCAGAAGTATCTGGTTTATATCCACGTAGGTGAGTTTCTTTTTCCTATTTCAGATGCTTTTTATAGGATTTGGAAAATCCTTGACTTTTTAAAGACCAGAATAAAGTTTCTTATTGAAGCCTCCTCCAAACCATTTGGGCAGTCATTTTTACAATGTGCAGTCAAATCTGCCTGATACCAGGTGTTCAAGGGGGACCATTCCTGTTCTGTTTCCTGGATATGGTTTGGCTCCTGCCATAGATCCTGGCTGTCCAGGAACTYTGTATTTCTGTATTTGCCTTCTGCTGAGTTCTGAGAGCAGAATCCTGCCTGTTGTTGGGGGCCAGAGTGCCCTGCAGGTGTAATTTGTGTCTGGAAGCAAGATCTGGCTCAGGGAAAGTGCAGAGATGGAGAATGGAGGGAGCAGGAAGTCAGCAGCCATTACAAACAGGATAATCCTGCCCATCTTTTATCACGCTCTTTCCTGAGTCACAGCCAGTCTGTGGCAAAGTTCCCTCCCCAGCACTCTGAGGGTGTTGCCCTTTGGCCCCTGGAGCTGTTAAATCACTGATTGAGGTGATGCAATCAGAAAATAGAAACATTGGTTGTGAATATGCCCCGTGGTAACAAGCTGGGAACTGCAGGAAAAGGCAGCAATTGTCCCAAGGAACATTTCAACCAGGCTCTCCCTCTGACAGGGGAGGTTTGGAGCAGTGCTGAGGGGTTTTTTTTTGTTTTTCCAGCCGGAGTGTTTGATCCATTGAGATCTGTTCTCATTTAATAATGGATCGAGTGCTTGAGGAGTCACTTAACTCTTCAATCTGAGGACTGCAGATGCTGCAGCAATCGRGATGTGCTGGGCTGGGGAGGAGCTGGGGGTGCCAGTGCCAGTCTGAGATGGCTCTGCCTCCCTTGGAGGAGCTGCACAGCTGGGCAGGAGCCTGGAGCTGGGCACAATGGGCTGCGTGTGCTGCTTCTCCTGCAGCCCCAAAACGGGGAGTAAATAGCACTGCAGCAAATCCAACAGTGACACACAGCACTGCTCACTCCACAGTGACCCCAGGAGAGGGAACTTCTCCGAAAGTGAAGAAGGACGCAGCGTGTGGGAGGGAAAGAGCTATTTCAGGCACTTAATTTGTGGGTTTCCATTGTGTGAGGATCCTTCAGATTTCACTCCTGGAAACCAAGAAGTGATGGCTGACAGTAAATTAATCTCCAGACTCTGGTATGATAACCATACAGAGTGCTGGAAATAAGTATAACATTTTCTACCAGGAAACAACACCCCTGTCTTAGGAATCTTCCACTTCACAGAGGTCAGGTACTGTGAAAAAGCATCCAGAGGATGAAAAGAGGTAAAAMATGAAAGAATGCATGTGAAGACAGTGACATTAGTGCCCTTACAGGTTAGGCTGGGTAAGGAGCAGGTACCACTGACCACCTGAAGGCACTGCTGGTATTGAACAGCTCACAGTGGGCAGAGGTGTCACCCACTGTACCTGCATTCCTGGGACTGCACAACCTGCATTGATATTTTCACAGGATTGGAGTGAGCATAAGGTTCTGGGTTTCACTGTTCAAAGTTTCCATGTTTAAAACTCTCAGTATGTGTTTGTTCTCTCAGGGGGAGGGTTGGGTCAGGATACAGGAATATACGTGGTTATTTCTGGAGGACTGAAARTAAAGTAAACTCTTCCTGAAAAACTCCAGCTGACATTCTGTAAAGCACCCATGGAAATCTAAATGGGTTTTATTCCCTCTCATAAGAGAAAAGCCTTTTATTTTAGCTGAGGCCTCAAAAGTGATTGYATTTGACTTCTTGGGGGCCCAATGGATGTTCATGCAGGATTGGGTTTCCTTTTCTTCTTGGATTTCTTTGTTCTTCGGGCACACAGAGTGTGAAGTGCCAGCTCTCAATGGGGCAGCACTTGGGCAGTGAGAGACACAGGCTGGTGTGGAAGGGAAAACATCATCTGATGTGGAAAGGAGATCCATTGGAAAATGTGCAGATTGTGCTGCTGCTCTTGGGACATTACCACAGCTTACAAAGTAAAAGCAAAGTTACTGTGTCTGCAAAATGGAACCCTGCAYGTTCCACTGCCATTCAGAGTTACCACAATCGGAGTCTTCAAGGTGCAAACCTGCAATGATCAGAGATGTTCAGCTCCAGTTTCCTGAAAATGTAGGAATTCTGTGAGGATGCTCCTGCCACACAATTCCTGTGTACAATGTATATTATGTGCAACAGTTTCTTGATATTTCTCCAATAAACAGAGAATTGACTGGGACAGTCACTGAAGACTTCACACTGAAAACTGGAAACAATTCCTGGTAATTTAGACACATGGAGCTGCACCAGGAGTGGGGGTTTGTAGGCAATTCCTTGAGCCCAGAGCTGACAGTGCTGGTGTTCTCCTGCATGGATCAATGCCCAGTGCCCAGCAAAAGCTCAGCAAGTTCATCTCTTGGAAAGGCAAACTGAAAATCCTCTTCAGTTCTGTGCTTCCAGAGTGGGTTGTGCACAGTCACAGCACACTGAGCATTAAAACTGCCAGGTGATTGTAAACATGGAACCTGGTGTTTCTGTTTCCATATTCCAGGATTCCAGTAGGGATGGAGCCCTTATTGTGAGGACAATATGGAAAATGTGACCTCAGAAATATTTCTGCATTTCCTAGAAGCTGAAGTTTCCTGCTCCTCTAACTGCACCTGTGATCATTTTGCTTTTAAACTGAATATATATTTTAACTGAATACTGTGATCTCCTTTGTGTCCCTGGACACAATCTCATGCTTTCAGATTTGGATGTAAAGGCAAACATGAACTTCGTGGTGCCGATGCAGTTCTGGTTTAATGAGCAATTCACACTTGTGTAAGATCTTGATATCCTTAAAAGCAAACCCAGCTCACTTCTCAAGCAGATAGAGTAAGCACCAGTGTCATACACATCTTATTAATTYATGTTCTGCTTCTCCAGAAGTGACTTCAGCGATTGCTTCACATGTATGAATGCAGGTTTYCCTAAATGAGCAATGGCCCCATGACCCTGAGCAGTGCTGCAGGAAAGCACTGTAGTCACTTTGTCACATGCCATTGCTGAGCCTGGAAACACTGGGTTTGAGCTCTGTGAATCAGAAGTAGGGAATATCACCCGGTATTTCCCAGGTTTGTGTCCACTGGTGCTCTCCATGGAGTGGCTGGACATCAGGTGACCCCAAAGCCACTCCATCACTGCCCTCCTCAGCTGGGCAGGGAGAATACAACAAAAGGCTCATGGATGGAGAGAAGGAATTTCTACATTTGAAATATTTGACACAGTTAAAAAGTCTGGAGCAAACTGATCCTAAAGAGCCGTCAATACCTTTACAGTCATGTTTCACGTGTTTTAACAAGACTATTTTTTAAAAGGGAAATTATCTTCTCTTCTAAACATTTGTTTCTGAGTCACACATTTCTTATCGGGTTTCTCATTTCTTTATTTCTCCTTCGAGTCTCTCTGACACAGCCCAGGCACAGGCTGTGTGTCCAGCTGCTGGCACATCTGATGGGTTGTGTTCTGGTAAGAGCATCTCGCACCGTCCCGAATCGCTCCAGGGGAATCTCTGCAAGCTGAGCTGCCTCCCCTTCATCCCCTCCCGGTCACGACAGGCAGGGACAGGGGCAGGGGCAGGGGCAGGGACAGGGACAGGGACAGGGACAGGGACAGGGGCAGGGGCAGGGACAGGGTCTGGGGCACTGCGGGGGGACCCGGGCAGCTCTGCCCCGCCTGTCCCCGACCCCCTCCCGGAGGATCCGGAGCCCGAGCGGGGCGGTTCCGCCTGCTCCTACCCCTGTCCTACCGCGGCTCTGCCCCGCCCGGTGATGATCCGGTTATTTATTGCGCTGCCCAGCACGGGCTGGCGCCTCGGAAAGGCTCCCGGGGCTCGGTGTCCCCTTTCAGCGGCGGCCGCGTGTCCTTGAAGCGGCGGCTGTGGCGGCTCCGCTCCCCGGGGGCTCCGGCGCTCCCGCACCCCTGGGACTCCCGAGCACATGCAGCTTTTCCTCTGTGCTTTTCCTCTGCGCTTTTCCTCTGATCCCATGCCGGGTTTCCCCCTTTCCTAGASATCGCTCTGTTCTGGGAACAACTGTGAGAATTCAGCCCGGTGAGTAACCCACTGCCTGTTCCCAAACCTTTCCCACCGTGACCAAGTGACATTCTCACATCAAACGGTGACTTGCTGATGGCCATCCCTTCTTTTTTTGATCTCTAAAACAGTCAGCAACTTTTAAATTTCACTTGGCTGCCCTTGCTCTGTGGACTGAGGTGAACGGTCCTCTCCCAAGAAGGCTCTGAAGCGCCAATTTCTGAAGTTTGCAGATCCTCTGCTGTGCTCAGAACCATTGTTCTGGTACGAAATCCATTGCAGGAGGTTCAGTACGTACAACCCTGCTGTGGCAGCTGCACTCCTGAAATGTAACAGGAGCTGTTCTCCTGCTTTTGTACTATCATGGGGCTGAAAAAAAGCCATTTCTGGCTGCATCGGAGTAACAGAAAAATAACCTTAAAATATCTGGAGGAAGCAGGCAGTTGTCTGGACCAGCATTTTCAGACAGGCCTATGGTAGGGAGGCACCTCATCTCMGTTACCTGTGAATAACACTGATTTGTGTTTTGGGAATCCTGCACAAGTCATTCACTCTCTCAAGCAAGAGTAAAGCACCACTCAATAAAAACCTTTACTCATTCAGAAACAACTTTTACAGTGGGATTATTTGCATGTTCTCATCTGGAATAATGATACAACTRTGAAGAACAATCTAAAGTGGTTTTGCTCCATACTTTTACTGAGTGCTTTCCCTTTTCCTCCTCAGGCAAGCGCATTCCCTGTGACACATGCACAATTTAAACCAGTGAATCGTCTGCCTTCCTCCACTGATGCCCTCGGAACATGTCTGATTGGACAAGTCTGTGGTATGTCTGGTAAGTTGGCTTTTCATCTTACTAACCCAGAACCATTTGGAAGCTGTTAGGAGCAGTACCTGGAGTAAGGCAATGGAAACACTTTTCAGGGAGATCAGGGAAGGCTTTCTCTGCTTTCTGAGAACTGCCAGAGGAATGGATTGGATGAGGCATGGGGAGATTGGGTGTCAGGTGGGGACCAGCATTCATCCAGGGCTGTGTCATCTTTCCCTTCTGAGTGCACCAGAGTTGAACTGAAGGGTTTGTTTGTTCTTCCTAAATAACCAGAGCTCTGCCGGCCATTGGCTGTTTATGCAGGGACTTGTTGGGACTTGGCACTGCCCCATCCTCAACTCGTTCCCTTCTACGGGACAGGGACTGTCCCCCTCTGCTGTGCCTCCCTCCTGAACTGCAGTGAGCACAGACCTGCTGGAGTGTCTGAAATGGTGAAAATGGGACAGGAGAGAGGATTCCCCACTCCCTTCAATGGGACAGGGACTGTCACCCTCTGGCCCTTCAGCCTGGAGTGCCTGAAAGGGGCAAACTGGGATAAGAGAGAGGATTCACCAACGGATTCAACTCTTGCCTAACACGTTATAGGTGCCCTTACATTTTTTTCATAATTTTCTGTCCATATATTAACTTTGCTGGCAGCACACAGAGGCAGTTGGTTACTTTTCCCTCCTTTAGTCTGGACTAATATTGGTTGATATTTTTTGCTTTCTTGACACGTGCTGATACACAGAGCTGTTTAAAGAGAMACAGTTATCAAAAATAGATTGAGAAGGGTTCAAAAACCTCCATGAGAAGAGGAAGTTAGGTTGAGAAACTGAGGAGTGGGAAGGTAGAGTTTCAGTGGAGAGGACACCTGAAACACAAGTTCATCATCCTAGGTACATTGCAAATTGTTAAATGATAAGCAGTAGCTGGAGATAGAATTGTGTTTTCAAGGCATAAATACAATTTAATATCATTTCCATGCTCATTTATAAAGAGAGGSCCCAGCTTGTGGAAGTTCGTGCTTGTATTTCCCTCCAAGAACAAACCCTGTCTTGCTGTGGAAAGCAGAGCCATTTTCCCTGCACAGAAGTTGAAAATAACCCAAAACAGTGAATGTTACAGCACCTGTGAGCCAGAACGGATTGTACTGATGGGCAGCAGTTCTTCAACTTGCGATTGATTGTTTGTGATCCAACTTTCTAATTCAGGATCCACCACCCATTCGGAACTAAATCTGGGAGGCTTGGCCTGCCTTCCAACCATTTAGAGTGAAATTATATTCTGTTCTGGAGGAAATAAAACCTAAGCAGTAGAATGATGGTGTTTTCCCTTCCTCTTCAAGGTTGCTCTTGCTGACGGTGTTCCTGCTCCTGTTCTGTGGGGTCTCAGTGAGCTGCATCAAATTCTGCTGCCGGAAGAAGAGGCTTCCAGTGGAGACCTTYCCTCGGCACCCCTGCGACCTGACAGTGATTGGCATTGACAGTGACAGCACTGCCCACAGCACAGTGACCTGTGAGTGCCCCAGGAGTCACCTGTGCAATGGTGCATTGGAATTCTGTGTGCCTGCAATTCTGTGTGCAACCCTTGCAGGAAAGGGAACTTGCCAGKGAGATCCCAGAACAACTTCCAGCCCCACAGGGTGGGAAAGAGGGGTGAAGGGAGAGCATCAGGGTGACACAGGAGTGAGTGAAGATCAGGAGTGGTTCTATATGGGCAGCTTTAGCACACAGTGCATATTTTCTGGCACCACAGAAGTCTGTAATTTCATTTTAAAAAGCAGGATTGGTCCTTTATACACCGGTGTTCCACGCAAGTGTTTAATTTTTATTTTTAATTCATTTTCTTCGCAGCATACAGCTCATGGCAGTACCCTCCAAGTGTCCAGATTCCTTCGGTGTTTGTGGATATGGATAAGAACACTGTGTCCCCTCCAGCTTACACCCTCTATGCCATGGACTTGCCACCCTCCTATGATGAAGCTGTTCAAATGGGAAAGCAAACAGCACAGATAAACCAGAAACTTAATGACGACCCTGAACAGGGGACACCAGGTGGGCTGAATCCCAKCCAGCACCCACCTGACACGATCAACAGAGATCCAGCAACACAAACAAATTCTGAATATTCAGCAGATGCCACGAAAGAGCAGCCACAGATGTGACTCAGTTCAGGTGGGGAGTAAAGGAAGGGAAGGACTGTAAGAGTTAAAGAAGATGTGAAGAGCTGGGGTTTATAAGTAGGTTATGATGGAAAGATGTTTCTTCTCATACCCTTGTCAGAAGAAATGTTTTCTGTGACTGCTGTAATCCCCTGGTAAAGCTTCTTCAAGGATATGAAATAAGGTAAAAGGGCAGCAGTTTAAAAATGCCTGTAAAAGTGGGACGTGAATGTTTGTTCATCTTCTGATAAAAAAAAATTTGTTCCTTTTGTCCAGCAATAAAAAAGGTCAGGAGAATTTTGCCACCTTGGGAATACACACTCAGAACAGTACAAACAGGAAGTTGTTGTTCTAGAACAGAAGTTTCCCAAGCTGGAGTTGAAGGGAGAATCCCAACAAGTCACACTGARCAGCTTCTGTAGTTTCTCTCCTTTTGAGAACATCAACTGTCCAGAAAACTGCTGAGGACAAAGTGCTGCACAATGTTCCTCAAGGAGCAGGAAGATGCCAAGSCAGGACAGGAGAGCGTGGAGGGAAATGCTTTGTGTTGTTTCACARTTACACACAGGGAATGAGACAGATGAGATGTGACACTTCTGTGGTGGTGGTGGTGGGGATGAGACCCAAAGGGATTGTTTTAGAGGTTTTGTAAATTTTTCCGTTTCTATTTTCGAGATGMGTTGCCTTGTGGGTGGGTTGCTTTTGATATTTATTTTTTTCCAGATAAAAGATGCATTAATTCCAAAGAGACACTTGCATATATGGTTCGGTATTACTGATGTGTTTCAAATATCCATCAAATATTTCAAAGATGCCTYTATATTTTGTTATCAAAACAGGTGTCAGCATCTCTGGCAGCACAGGAAAGAAAAATCACAGTTTCCTGGCAGCTTTTACCAGTTCAGAAACGGGATGAGCTCAGGAATGAGCAGAGTGACACAAAACATGCTCGTGCTGAGCCATCAGAATAAGTTAGACACACAAATACCACAGTACAGGCTGAGCAAAAGCCCAAAGAAATTACTCTTAGGGATGGTTCTTTGTGAAGTGCTCATAGAAAGATAACTGCTGAGCTTCATTTTAAAACTGGGAGCTCGGAGCTGATTACAGCAGTCGCAGCCCAGACAAAATATGAGCTTCAGAGGAGAGGCAGGTTTTTAATGCCAGCTCTTTCCCTYGCCCCTCATATTCCAAATGGTACGAATTTTGTCCACTCCTGAGTGGTGATTTTCTTTGAATCCACTTGAGCAAGGTGCTAATCTGGCTGCCTTTAGGAACATGAGCAATCTCCAGGGTGGCTCATTGCTCTGGGATAAAGGCAGCAACCAAAGCCTGAGCACTCGGTGCTATTAGCGAATGTAGCATAAATTTAGTGTCTGTCATTAACAGGCAGTACAAGTGGTGGGCACAAAAGCCTGCACAGCTTTTAGAAGACTGTTATTCTCTGACAACCRTTACTGCAAGAACTGCCCTGCAAATGAGAATTAATGATTTAAAAATGAGGATTTCTGCCAGCCACAGGCCCGAGATGCTGCTACAGTCATRTGTGAGAGCTGTCCGTGAGCCTGGCTCCCCAGGGAAGGGTCGCTTCTATATTTAACTTGCATGTAACTTACTATGAGGGTTGACTGGTGYAACAAATCTGCTTCTCTTATGTCTCCTCTCTGTCATCCTTCATTATATTTCTCCTGTTTTATTMTTTTCTCTGCCTTCTTTATCTGTGTCAAGATGGAGACTGGGCATAACCCAAGGTAACTATTTGGATTTCTCTGKCTGGAAGGGCAATATATGCCCAGTCCTGGATGATTCCAAATCACAAATACAGCAGATGTATTTTTATTTATTGAATTTCTCCACAGTACTCAGAACGAAGCCTATGCCCCTCCAAAGAAGGAAAATATGTTGGGGGGAAATGGCTGAGCKCTCATTCTCAAATAGAGATGGGAATACAAACCCAGGCGAATGAAACAAYCGTGACTGACACAAGAGGGCAGTCCCTCACTTCTCGCTGTGTGCAGTGGTTCATCCATCCCCGGCAGCGGCTCGGGAGGGACTGGGCAGGCTGGAAAAGGGTGGGGAACCATCACCACGGTTCCAGTTCCCTGCCCTGTGTGCCCCGGTTTGCACAACACCTCCCAGGGACTGCCAAACTGCAAGGTCCGTTTGGTGAGAGAAGATGCAAAACCCCAAATAAAACCCCAAAYRCCRGTGACTTCCTWGGAATYAGGGCATAATCTGGTGTTTCCTTTCTAAGGACAAGTCTTGTGTTTTGCCCTGGCTCTTGCCTTGTAATGTGGTTCATGAACTCCAACAAAAACGGTTAACACCAACTACTGACCCAATCAACACTCAGGAACACGGACTTGGCTCACCAAAAACTGCTCAATTTGCTTTGTAACCCTCATAGTTAGGAAATTAAAGGTCTTTCTTGTGTCCTGCCTTCTCCAGGGCCTGCTAAGGGTGACYCCATGCTGGAGTCTTTCTTGCAAARGAGGGTTGAAAAGATCCCTCATCACTACACAGCTCCTGTTCTTGTAGAACAGTCAGAATTTTGCATTTTGAAGCCCGCAGTTCTCCGCTTTATTTGAAATTGGTCAGTGGATTCCGTAGTTATTGGGTGTGCAGAGTGGAAAGAGGGAAAGCAGGATTTGACTGTGATTCCAAAGCCTTGCTTCCATAAGAAATCAGATTTAAAAAGAACACCAGGTGGGAGGTTAGTCCGACAGCAGGTTACAGGCTTGGTCTGACGGAGGATCTCAGAATTCTGATTTGTCAGGCTGGTGCTTTTCACCATCACCAGATYGATTCAAGTCTCATGATACCCACACAAGCTTTGTGACATCTCTAAGGGAAAAGCCCCTCTCTGTAATTACCCAAAGTGCGTTTTTAATTGTGATTTATATTTGGTCCTCAGTTTGGCACTGTTCAGCATGCAATTTTTCTTYTCTCATTTGTTGAAAATGATCATTTTGCCAGTTATTTTCTGCTGTTCTTTGCTGGCTGTGTTGAAGAGCCTGTGCTGGGGCTGAGGCTGGAGCCTCCATCACCATCTCTGCTCTCACACATGCACTCAGCACGAGCACTTGTGCTCGGAGAGAAAACGCAGCCATGGAAGTAAATGTCCTCAATAATTCATGGGCTTTATAGCCCAGAGCAAATTATACCTTGGCTCTGTCATGAAATTCAGGTTGCAGATCCCTTTATAGCCGAGCTCATTAACAATATAAGTAAAGTGGTACCTCTAGAATGGCTTTGATAATTGATGCATTATAATCTTTGGAGAGTATTTAGTGGTAAAACTGCAGCATCCAGATTCAGGCATCACTGGGGTCTGGATACAGGAAAAGTCAGAGCAAAACCATTTCTTTGTTTGCCTCGCAGTTGCCTTTGTCTGCCTCGCTGTCCTCACATAGCCCAGAAGGTTTGGTTCATTTGTTTTCTAACTGCATTTTGTCTTTATCAGCTGCATTTTTGAGGGAAAAGGATCAGTGCTGCAGCCAGTACAGATGAGTGGRACACCTGGACATATGCAAAAGCTGCTCATTTATGGAACAAAATCTCTCTGCCACAACCACTTTCCATACTCTCGGCTGTCTCCTGGCTGATTCTAATCCTCTTTACCTGTTGGAACTCTTTTTGCTTAGGGAGACACTGACTAATTTTGCTGCAAGTAGCAGAGGTTCTTTCCTTCACCCACAATTAAAATTCAAACTGCAAGAGAAGCCTTGGAATCCTTTTCAGAGCAGACGATGAAAACAAAGCATCACAGGGGAATTGTGCTCTAAAAACTGGAGAAGACAATAAATGTTTTATGAAATTCTACATCCTAAGGTCAAGCGCAATGCACAAAAAAAAAAGGCTTAGGTGCAAATCCACATTGCTGGGAAAACATTTTGTTCTGGTCAGTCAAAATTTAGAAWATGAAATGCCAGAGCTCCTTTTATCTTACTGGGAGGAAAAAGRGGCCTGTAGAAAATGTAAAATGCAGACTTTCAAAGATATTTTAATTTTTAGTTTAGAATAACAAAGCTCACCTTGGGCACTTAGAGAAAGGAGAAAATCAATTTCTATTTCMAACCTAGAAATGCCTGAATCTGCACTAAAATGCTTAGTTTTTACTCACTTTTTCACCCTGCTTTCCCAAGTAGCTCAAAAAGGAAACAAAAGAGAAGAGCCTGATGTCGAGGTCTTATTTGTGCATTGTTTTTTTTCTCTTTCCATGCTAAGAGTTTATGGCATAAGCTACTTCCTTCCACAAGTAAGGAAGTGAAGTTTTGAGGTCCAATTACTGACCTGGGATGCCCAGTTTGGTGACTTTTGTGCCACAGATTTCCCCCACGACACTGGTCTGTAAAACAAGGGCTGTGGCACTGCCTTTTCTTGCACCCAATTTGGAGGATGAATACATTGAGCGTGGGCTGCGCTGTCACATTGAAATACAGGTACAGTCAGAGCATGATGAACTTTGTGTGGGACACGAAGTGCAGGGAAAAACCTCCCCACTGCCTCCCCCTCTTAAGGGGCGAATCTGGAGAAGAAACTTGGGCAAAGTGTGAGATTTAGAAACAGCCGCTGGATTTCAGGTGCCTCACCCAGCCATCATCACAACACCGAGGGGAGAGAGGCAAGGTTTGTTCAGCTTCAGAAATGCTTCTTTACYCCAAACCCCTGCCAGGAATCTGTCAGAGACCCCAGGAGGGAGGAGAAACTGCTCTGCCCCGCACATCAGGTCACTCCAGCTGGCTTTGAAGGCATAGAGTTGTGATTAGTGGCCATAAAAATAAACACCCTGTGTGTGTTTGGAGGTTTCCTCCGCCCTTGGCTGAGCTGCCTGCTCCCAGCAGATGGGGAAAGTGAGCCTGAGTGGCCCCTCTGAAGGTCGGCTGGGCAGACTGCAAGGCCAACACACACATTTAATGGGATTATTTGGAGGAAAAAAAACGTGGTATGCTTTTATTTCTTACTTATTTCGCATCGAAACTTCGCCCTCTTGATAAAAGGCCCACCGTACCTGCAGTCAAATACTGGAATTCAAATGACTTGGGCCATCTGGGAAATAAAAAAGCGTATGTTCGGTTATTTTCCACTGTAATAATGAGGAAAAAATCAGTGATAATGAATAGGGTTATCTTTCCATCAAGAAACATCCTGGGGTGTGACAGACTCCAGCTTTACTGCAGATATTGGTKTCTAGATAGGTACCAATTTCAATGTCTGTGCCTCTATTTTCCACTGGTAAACAATTCTGGGATGCAGTGGTTGGAAGGCACCTTTGGACATGCCCTAATCCAACCCTCTGAACACTGGGGCCAAGCAGAGCAGCTTGCCCTGCCCCCTCTGGCCCTGAATTCTCCAAGGATGCAGATCTCACTGCCCCTCTGGGCAACCTGTTCTGCTGTCTGACCTCCCTTACAGTGAAAAGAGGTTTTGGGAATGTTTGAGTGGAATTTCCTGTATTTTGGATTGTTCCTACTGCTTTTTATTTTGCAAGCTGGTGCCCAGTGAGAAAAGTCTGCCTTTGTTTTCTTGTACTTCCCCCCCAGGTATTTATCCACATTTAGATCCCTCCTGTACCACCTCATCCTGAGGCCAAAGACTCCCAGCTTGCTCATCCTTCCCTCATACGTCAGATGCTTCAATGCCTTAATCATCCAAATATTTAACTCCATCTTCTCTCCAACTTGCCTAAATCAYCCAGGATTTCCCCCCGAATTCCTAAATAAAAAAAGAACATAATGAATAATTTTTTTTCCAGGCCAGAGGAGGAAGAGAGATTTCCCTTCCTTTCTCTAGTYTATCTCATTGTCACCAACAAGAAAATCATATTTCATCAGAGCAWGGCCTTGCTCCCCCAGGTTTCAATCAAAATGGTTATTGATGAAAAATCTTCTGTGAATTGTAGCTAGAGATACTGCAAACCCACTGCTCAGTGYTCTGCCAGAATAATAACGAAAATGCAAAGCTTCTCATTGATTCCTACTTCTTGATTACCCAACATATCCCACAATTTTAGGTACAAAACCTACAACCCAAAATCTCCAAGCTTTAATCAATGTGCAAGATGCCAGGTAATGTGTTAATATAATTAGAAACCACAAAAAATCAGGATAAGGATAATTTGAGCATCTATGGAATTAGTTTGGTGATTTCTTCATCCATTTATAATTTATATTTCTAATATTTATATACATATATTTATATTTTCTTTACATTTATTTATATAATATTTTATATTTCCTATATTTATATAGGAAAATTATTTTATAATTATTTCTAATATTTATATATATTTATATTTCTAATTGATAAATAGAAAACATGAAAGTGCAAGTGTGAATTTATGTCTAATCACCTGATGGCTGTTACACACAGCCCTTCTTCCTCRTCCCCTCCCATTTGTGTGCTCAGACCTCCTTTTTCAGGTGATYCCTTGGTGCCTCTGTGCAGTCACCCATGGACCTGTTGTTAATCCTGAGCCCAAGTTGGCTCCTTTGAGTCTGAAACAACATTCAGAGAAATGAAACTGAAAAAAAAAGGAGTTTCTCATCCGTCTGGAGATGGGGTGGGGGATGGAAGAGGCAACTGCTAGGCCCAAAAATCTGATGGTTCTTTGTGACATGAGTCCTGAGCCACAGGTATGGATGGAGAAGGGTCTTTCCTCAAATCTGCATGTTTGAGTTCTAGTGATTCATATCTAAAGCTGTGGCTGCATTGTCTTGAATTCAGGGAAGGCTCCAGTATAAAATCTCTGGCACAGGAAGTTCAGCTTCCTCTCCAGATTTCCTTCCTCCACCTCCTTATATGCAGAATAGCAGGGAACTCACTTCAGCCATGCCAGTAGGAGTGAAAACTCCTCAGACTGTAGAGCAGTTTGAGTTGATGGCCAACTCCTTCATCTCAAGCCTTCAAGGGAGGCAGCACAGACCAGTGACACCACTTAAACCCAAAATATCCTCAAGTGATGAGCTGCATTTTGTACCTGCACATGAAGCTGTACCCAATCCCTCAGCAGACATGGTCAACAAGGGTGATACAGTGACCCTTAGTGACATTCATCCCATTTCCACTGTGAATTATGTAAAACTCTTATTGTGGCCATCAATCAAAGGCAGAAAATTTGGCCAATATGTAACTTTGCTACAATTGGAAATTAAAATTACCACAAACTGTGGAAAACCAGGTTTGGATCCAGGCAATGCCTTA